GCTCAATATTTTTTATAGGAGCCTTACCGACAGGTTAAAAATAGAGAGGGTAATTTTTATGCTATGCCATTCAAATAAAACACAATTAGTACTGTTTATTTCGAACTCAAATTTTTTAATGCATAACATTAGTGCAGATCAGTGATGAGTTTGCAAATTGTGGCAAAAACTTGTATTCAAAGAGTCACTTAAACTTTTGTTTTTGATTGAATAGTGACCTTCAAATATGATCTATCGGATGCAAAATTTTTGGATCAGAAACCAGGTTGGTAATCCTCGTACTCTCAATGCAATTTTTTAACTCCCAATCTGATAATTATTTGAAAGATACTACATTTTTTTTCGATTAATTTTTCCGTAATCAGCATATCCTACACATTTTCCAAACAATTTTAACGGTAATCTCGTAATAACCAAGTTATAAGTGGCTCTTACGTGCAGCTAGAGTCCGTCAGGTCTGAATTCGAGGACTTGTACCTGAGTCCAGATCTGACTCTGGTCAACAAACAAATTTCAGATCCAAGCTCGAAGTCGATTAGATTTTGAACCTATCTGATGAGCTGCAGCTTGCAAAGAGTTTTTGATTTGTATTACTGGAAACTAGGATTATGACGACGTAGCAGTGCTCACAGAAAAGGAATCTCATTGTGAGATTGTTCAGCGTGTTGAAAATATTTGATTGGCATCTGAGATTAACTGCAGAGAGAGGAGAGAATTTTGGACATCGTCCAGCAGATATGATTGTAAGTATCCTGCAAGGTTATTCTTCATTTGTAACAAAAAAGCATAAAATGAACTCATTGCCAATGTACGTTGAACACTTAGTCATACGAAATTTAGGTTTTTTTCCTAAAAATATTAGCAGTTACTGGTGACGACAGCAAAAATTTTCAAGCAGTAGACAAGTTTGTTAATCTGATAGAGTGAGAAGCAAATGTTTCAGCCTCTCTTAGCCTATGAAACTTAAATCTTGATGAGCTTTCGCCTACTCGGGCCTAATGGCTCCGCCGCCTATGACTGACACTGACTCTGTAACAATGTGTTATCTGCCAGAAAAACTTGAACACTAAACAATAATAGAAAAACTTTACATTTAATAGAGCCTACCAAAGCCTTAATCTGTCCAAGTTTGAGGCAAACTTTAGTATAGTCCTCCACTAAACTTGAAATCCATGTCCTGCTCTCCACATTCTTTCCTTTCTTCGGCCTCATGGCAAAAATTCAAAGGGTGAGAGTGTAGGATGAGGTTTTGCCATGAGGTCAAAGAACAATAAGGATGTGGACAGCAGGACATGGATTTCAGGTTTAGTGGGGAGTATACTAAAGTTTGCCCCAAGTTTGGGCCTACTCAAGCTTACCCTCCGCCAGCCTAGGGTAGACTTGAGCCTACCCAGGCCTAATGACTTCGCCGCCTATGGAAGAGTACTGTTCTTTAATTACTAGAAATTCAAAAGTTATTTTGAATAGAATTTTAGAACAAAAGTTAAATTATCTTATATTGAAAATAAAGAATTCGATGCAGATATAGACGTCAACGAAATCAATCAATATGCCACTGGGCACGAGTTTGTAATACATAAAATGTGGACTGACCTTGTAATAACGCATCATCTGTCAGAAGAACATGAAAATTGACTAATATTAGAAAATTTTCACATTAAATCGAGCCTAGTCAAGCCTTTATCTGTGCTGGTTCGAGCCTACCCAAGCCTTTATCTGAGCCTACCCAGGCCTTTACATGAGCCTACCCAAGCCTACCCTCCTCCAATCTAGGGTAGGCTCGTGCCTACCCAGGCCTCGTGGCTCCGCCGCCTATGATGTTCGATTAATAATTGACAGAGATCTGTCTTTATCACTGAAAAGTGCTTTTTTCGGCTATCTGATATAAACGTCATAAATGAGAACCTTCACGACTTTTTTTCTTAGTCGACATAAAAAACTGATTTTTTAGCTGTGAGAGCTCCTATAAATAGGCTTTTGTTTCAAATAAAAAGACAAAAAACCAAACTTCATCTTATACTAAATTGAGCGGCGCTGTCGTGATTCGTCTCTTAAGGTAAATAATATTATTGACACATGAAGAGCATTTCTGTAAACATCGACTCTCTGGTGAAATTGCGCATAAAAGAGAACTATTTGTGTTTAGTTACGGAGTTTCTGCTGTCTCGCTCATATTAAATATTCAGTAACTGAATGTTACTAATGACACGAAAATCTGTGGTGTTTATTGTCCGAATGTTAATCGAGCAGCTAAAGCTATTAGAATGTTGGCCAGTTTCTCTGTTGTTCGAAAAACTCAATTTATTTCTCATGCAAACGGTGAGAGGATGAAAAAATGTTGATTGCTGTTCTGCGCAAGAAAGCAGTCATTCATTTTCGATTTTTTTACTTAACGACGCCTGCGTCCTTGTGTAAAGTGAATAGACGAAAGTGGGTATTGGAAGCATGAGAAATATATAAGAATTTTAGCATTACAATCGTTTTTTGTTCTTCATTATATTTTGGTTCACTCAATCTGACGAGTGGACTAGAATAAATGATCTTCTCACTATTCTATTAATATCTCTACCAATTTTCATTGCTCATTGTTATTTTTTTAAGACAAGATTTGCTGTGTGATTCATTAGTCGAACTTTGTACGCAAAAATTCTTTTAAATGTCTCTATAGATACTGTGATGATGAAGGAGATTTCGTCATACGAAAAGTCTTCAGGTCATTTTATATTTGGAAGCTATTTTAGGTTAAATCCTACCTTCAGTCTATCCTCGATGAAAAAAAATCTTTATTTTTCGCAATAATGTTGTGAAAGCAAATAGAAACGTTCATTATTTGGTCTAATGTCTTCCGAATAAATGCCAGTTTACAACCTTGATGTAAGTGTATAAATTGTTTAGGATGTCTAAATAGGAGACATTTAGTGTGCAGAAGATTATGTGAGCAGAAAATGTTCGAAACGATTTGGTTTTCGCTCATTGAAAATTCTTTTTTCCAAGCCTTTACTTGAGAATACTCCATCCATTCTTTCTGAAGTTCTTGATAACAATTAGATGAAATAGTCTGAAACTTTCGAGGTACATTGATCTTGAATAGTCGCGCGACAGATATCATAGACTTAGTGTTCGATAATGCTTCTTTCTATGATATAAAGAAGTTGCAAGAGCTAAAGGTGACCAAGATGGAAGGTCAGTCGCCCCACCGAAGCTGCTCCAACTAAACTTTACTACGAGTTCCGCTCCTCAAATAGTGTTGAGTATCTGTGACAAAAAGTTTCATCTTGATCGATTCTACAGTGTCAAAAAAAGACCAGAAAACTACGCACTTTTTTCCACATGCACTCATTTTTGGTCTCTTCCTGAAGAATATTTCTAGAGATTATTGACTTTTGCGAATCTAATACAGTTGTCTCCAAAACTAGATATTGCTTTTAAGAATGGCCTGTAAGGAGAAAAATTCCACATTTAGACGGCCAGGATTTTCTGTTTGCGCTTATATTTCTAGTGTAGTTAAATAGAAAGGCAATCGGAGGTTGGAGAAGGACTGTAAGTTATGGCGTGGATAAACTTGACTTATTTTAGCTGAAAACAACTGAGGAGAGATTGTATGCAAACAAAAGTCGTTCTTTGACATAGAGTTTTAGAAAATTCGATTATCGAGACACAGACGACATAAACATTTTTCAATAGCAAAGGTCGATAGACAAGATATAAGAGTACTTAAAAGAAACAAAAAAAAATCCAAAATCGAAAAAACAAAATTTTCGTTTCTGGAGGGGCTATCCTTTTAACGAATACACATTTTTGGGTTTTCTGAACTCGGAAACGTTCATCTATTTTGTCTCATCTAAGTCGTTAAAATGTCTTCATCGTTGAAGCAGCTGATATCGGACGAGTTGCAGGAGTTGAACAGCAGTTGACTGAATGGAAAGTCATTGGACCACAATAGTTTTCATATCAACTATAAATAGCTTTTTGTCATGAGTAAAACAAAAACAGAGATCACCCACTTTGTTTAGAATTGCATCAAACCAACTGTTGAGCTTGATTGCTGCTAACAAAGATCGAAAACGAACCGAACCAGACTCGAAGTAGGCATACACAAAACTCCATCTAATCTTAAAACTTTTTCTCAAGTAGTATCAAATTTGAAGTTATTTCCTGGTAGAATGAATGAAACCACGTATGTTTCAGGTCAAAGTTGGGCGAGCTTTCGTAGTATTTCATATTGAAGAACTACAATTTTTGAGTCAGAGTTTTGAGTTTGGTGGATGCCTAACTCAAACCAATTTCAAAAAAAGAATTGAGCAAAGTAAAACTAGAAGAATAAATAATTTATTGGACTGCGATCGATTTTACAAAAATGTGATGCTACTCAGTACTCTGTACTTCTATCTTATAATTATTATATCGCCGTATTCTTGCAAGCTATTCAATTTCACTTACCATTGTAATAAGGATTTCGATTATTTCTTCAATTTCTTAGTTGCCAGTTCAGTTCTCATTATTATTGTTTTTATGCATAGTTATAGTTCAGTTTTCAGAACGAGACTTTACTCGAAGACAATGGTTAACAAGTCAGGTTGCTTATAAGGAAACCAACACCTCGATCATTTTTTTTACAATTTTTTCGAATAGTACACGCCGTACTGTATTTGTTACGTCCAAACTCATTAAGATTCTGAATATCTAACAAAAGAAAGAGTTGTTTTTCAGCTCACCGTTTAACAGCAACCATGATCTGTTCGCGAACCTTCTAAACTCTCAATTTCTATTTGTATGAATAGATTTATTATTTTCATAAAGCGTCAAAAACAATTATGAGTGAAACATCTTTGAACGCATCCGATGATAGTGAAAAATTTTCTTCTTTATTAAACGAATTAGCAAACTTAGCAGTACAAACTGATGATGGTCTACAAAAACATGAGCATGTATTGCAATCAGTGTTGAACTATGGCAACACATTTTTTGAATCATCAAATTATTCGTATCTAACCATTGACATGTTAGGTGCATTACTCGATTACTCCAATAAAACAGTTCTTGTACCATGCCTAATTAAAACTGACTATCCCAGAACACTATTAAAATGGCTGAGCTCAGTTTCAAAGTAAGAGAAATTAAATTACGCACGTAATATAGTCAACGAAAATGTTGTAAGTTTATGTTAGAATCTCCTTTATTTTGTTTGTAGCCAAGAACGATCAGACTATGTTGAATATGTAGTTGGTGTGATTTATAATATCAGTCGTCATGATAATGGCATACAAGTTTTAAATTCTCTTAACACTACAGATAGAATCAAAGAAGTTCAGACGCATAATCAAGATCCAGAAATAAATATTATTTGCTCTATGATTATGGCTCTCCTGTCAACACCTGAACAAATTAAAAATGATCGTAAACGAATGAACAATATACTTGATCAATTGTTACAAATAGTTGTTGATGCATCAAAACAATCACTCAGTTATTTACATGGAGGGTGGCACATCTCAGAACCATTGATCGTTTTAGTGAGATTAATTTGTTATGAACGTACACTTGATTACATCTTACAGCATGCACAAGTTGAATTCGAGACATCTTCAACAACTGAATTTTTGATCAAAATATTATTGAAATTCTACAAAGAAGTTAGTGCCGATGATCCTCTCAAACTATCAACTTGTACAGCACTCTGCAATATTCTGTGGAGTATTTCACTTCGTCCACAGTATAAACAAGAATTACAAGAAAATGAAGAATTCAAGATGTTGATTGAGAAAATAGCTACTGATAAAGTTGTCCCTAATTCTACTCAATACGTACCAAAGTATATTGAAAATATTCAGAAAGCTGCTGACGGAATTCTATGTAATATCGACGACAATAACCAAATCAATATTTCAAATGTGACAGCAAGTGAGCGATGTAAATCTGTAGTTAATGCATTAGTTCCACGTACGTTAACAGACAAAAAACCATCAATTATGATTAGTTATGCCCATAGTGATAACGATGTTTGTACACAGTTGTACAATGAATTAGTTAAACATAATCAGCAATTTGATATTTGGATCGATTGGAAAAATAGCAAGACAGGGTATTTATGGGGTAAAATAGCTGATGGTATAGCAGATTCAAGTGTAATCGTGTGTTTGTTGTCAAACAAATATTATGAAAGTAAATCGTGTCAACAGGAATTTGTCTATGCACATGATCATCTCAAAAAACCAGTGATACCGGTTTATATTTTGGATGATAAACCACCTGGCTGGCTAGGTATATGTCACACAGTGAATATTTTACTAAAACATAGGCAAAAATGCAACACTTTGAGCTAGAAATGGCCTGTTTTCATAAGCAATGAACTTTTTCTTATTTGTGAACTTGGAAAAAGTGACAAAACTGAAATTCTAACAGGAAATTGGCAGTTAAAAATTCATGAGACCAAATATTTTCGAATATTTTTTTTCGTTCAAAAGTGTTAAATAACATGGTCTTAGATTCAGTTTTCAACGCTAATTTCAAACATATAACTTGTGACAGAGTAGTGTTTCTGAAATGAGAAAATTTCGTTTTACTCCGAAAATCAACGATTTTTAGAAAATCTTCCGCTTCTAATATTTGGTTCGCTCACATTTCAATCGATAGAGAATAGAGATATGATCAGTTGTCTATTTTTTTAAGCGAAAAACGTGACAAATACATCAGAATAACTCATAACTCAGTCAAATAATGGAGTAGACTGCTAAAAATCACATACAATTATCCTATGTCCATTTGATTTGTACATTGAAAGTTTCAGCTTCTAGCTCTTTTTGTCTTTATGTTAAAGAATCTGCAAGCCCTTAAGATTCATATTTGACTATGGGTACAGTGAAATATCAATAACTTCTGAAATTCTTGTTCAAAATCAATCGAACTTATCAAATCAGGACAGCTTTGGTTAGAGAAGGATGGTGTCTCAAAATCGCATTTAGTACATTCTATGCATGTTGTGGTATGAAAACAGTAGTTATCTTGAAAGTTTGACTGATTGTGAATAAGATTTATAGAAATTATTGATATTTTCCTGTACACATGTGTAGGTACGAATCTGAAGAGAACTTTATATCCTGTAAGTCAAAGACGAAAAGAGCTTGAGAGTTGAGACTTCCAGTGTAGCATCTACATATACATATAATGATTATCTGCAAGTTTCAGCTAATGAGCCGGATAGCCAGAGTTTTTCTGTACCAAAACTTACCGCAACCAAGCATACAATCAATATTTCTAAGACTATATTCATTTGCGCATGATTTTGTCTTACAAGTTTTCTCAACAAGAAAAAGTCATAGAACAAAAAATTATTTTAGCAATACATACATGTGTTATGAAATACGTTCGTTTTCGTAATATAAAACAGCTGGAACAAGAGAAATTAACAGATTTAATTGAAATGATCGAAGAAAACTTATCAGGAACAAGTGCTCAATCAAATAAAGATTTGCTTCCACCCACTTCGGTGCCTTTTCATCATGAACTATTATCAGTTGTACAAAAACCGAAAGAAGAAGAAAAAGAAGTGAAACAAAAGGTATCAAATGAAGAGTCGAATTCAGGGTATGTAGCGACAGTTATGAAAAGTTGAGATCTTCTATTGAACTTACCATTTGCTTTTGTGCCTATTTCGTTTCTAGACCGAGAACTGATCTTTCTCGAAAACCAGTTGAACAATGGGATAAAAATGATATCAAACAATGGTTTCAAGAAAATAAGATTTTAATGGACCTATATAAGTTATATCAATTCGAAGACGGTACTCAGCTATTGAGTTATGCGGCTAGTCTTTCAAATGATGAAAAAATCGAATTACAACGTCAGATATATTCTGATGAATTTGCTGAACTGTACAAAGGTAAACGACTCTTACCACATCAATTTACAACGTTTGCCTATGCTTTACGAAAAATAAGTTCTGAACAAGTTAAAACTGAAACGAAACAGACTGTTAATCATCCTGCTACACAAAACTCAGCGGAAGCAAAAAACTCGCAAACGTGTGAAATACTATAATTCATACATTGGGTACAAACACTTTTCTTTTTTATCACATGAATGTAATAGACGTTAGAGTATTTTGTTTGCACTAACAAAGAATATATTAATGCAGAACTCAAGAGTTCAGTTTTTCTTACTATAATATATTTTCAGCCTCCAAAAATGAATCCAGAAATAACATATAGCTCGGTCTCAATGGATGAGCGTGAATGTGAGTGTACTTCTCTTTTTCAACAACATCCTCACTCACCTAAGAGGATTCAAGTAATATCAAAATATTTCTATTGTGGTAGCTAATTTGAGTTCAGTGATTAAACTGTTATTCAAATATTCAAGTATTCCGAGAGGAGATGCCCTAGGTATGTATTGTCATGAAAACTTTAATACGTAAAATACAAGTTTTCAAGTTTCAATTATTATATGATGATTCTCTGACAATGATTATAGGTAAAGAATTATTCGGTTAGTTATGATCGAAAACATGTAATATAGGAAAAAAAGCTGGCTAGGAAATCAATGTATATGTCATTCTTAACATGAGAACTCAGTTGAATTTGAAGTGCGTGAAAAAAAGATTACGATAGAAATAACACTTGATAAACAAAACAAACTAACTGATTTGGACAGACTTCCCAAAATAAAATGGCATTAAATACCATAAATAAAAAACATTTTAATGTTGTATCCGGACTTTTTTTCTTTTACTATGCTATCAAAAATTCAATCCTAAATTTACCAAGAACGATAATGCATCATACACCATCGATTTTAGTATTTAAACAACAAATTTGACTTTCGATTCTTACTATACGACAAACAAGTGATACAATACACTACTGCTTTCAAAAGAACCCTCACCAAGCTCCTGCTTGTCTAAATAAATACTTTTCAATGTTCCGATGTCCTATAAGATGGAAAAAATATTGTCGAAATGCGTATTTGATTGAACAAAATAAATATAGTAAACTTATTATTACTTGTGCATAGAATAATAATCAAAATACATTTCTTTTATATCAAATGAAGTTGAAAGTACAATGAAACTATATTAACAATAAGCGAATTTTCTTCGTTCAAACATCGACGATATCTTTTACTGAAGATTTACAAAACGTTATTTCAATTTCAACTATATAACGGCACTGTGGAGAAGAGCGAATGCGAAGGCTCGATGAGACCAATCTTTTTGAAGCAACCTATATCACGAAAAGAAAGATCTTGTAAGATCATGTAAGGCCGTCTCCATCGAAAAATATCTTATCATTATTATTCAGTCGAATGAATAAAAAAAATATATCTTGAGAGTTATTGTTGGGTGTGAGTATGGTTTCGATTGTTTTTCCAATTCGTTGCCACTCTCACATCCACCCTAATGCATCACTTTTTATTTCAAATTGTTGAATCTCTCAAAAAGATATTCATGATCAAAATTACTGTCTAACAACAATCTATAATAAAATAATGTATGCAGGATTCAATA